TGGCATTACTACCAAGAGAGTCCTTATAAACCTCTCTGCAGTGTTTGTCTAGGCAAGAAGCCTATGCTTTTCATTAATTGGAACTGACTGTACTTAGTTGAATTCATATGCCAAACATACTGTTGACAGAATATGCCAGCTTCTGTCCCTGGGCTTGCAGCATTTAATTTCAACCAGGGTCACTATGGTAAAAGCACAGTGTGTACACTCCAACCATATGCTTTTGACATCAATTGTTCTTTGTGCCTGAGGAACAGTGAAAAGCATTTTGGTCCCTTTGCTGTTTCTAAACTTAGTTCAGAATAGTAGAAAAGAATGGAACTCCAACAATCTAATATGTTTAATATTTTTGTGAGTCAAGCTGTCTCAATACAATGCAAAACCTGCTTCCAATGAATAGGTCTTCTGAGAAGTCTGAGGGAAAAAAGGAGACAGTGGAATTGAATGGACTGCATCTGAAAGTAGAATGTGTGTTTTTCAGATGCTTTGTTCTGTATTTTAGAATAGTACCTATAAAGTCATCTTACCATGGGATTACTGTGTCCAGGAGTAATGGAGAGAGTGTGGAGCCTCTGCTTATTCCTATAATAACAAGAATCGTAGAAGCAAGTTCAGACGTGCTGTATTGATTAAAGCACAATTATCTCTGCTGATGGGAGTATAAGTATCCTCTGGACTATTGGTCCACTTGAGACACTTATGATCAGTCCCTGGTTCATGTGCCTCCATCTCCTTACCCCAGTGGTTCTCAAACTGTGGTCCGTGGACCACTAGTGATCTGTGGCTGCCTTCCACAGCTCAAGCTCATCCCCCCTTCCTGCCTCCCTCACCCCGCAGCAGGGAGTTGGCTCTGGCACTCCAGCCTCACTCTGCTCCCCCTGCAAGGTGGGAGCACCAGCACTGGCTTCCCGGTGAGAGGGTCGGGGGGAAGCCCTGAGCCTCCCGACCAGATCCAGCTTGCAGGGAAGAGGCATAGACAGCAGTGGTTCTGTATGCTGCCACTTCCCTTCCTCCTCCCCCGGCTGGAGGAACAGCAGCACATGGATGCACTGCCTGGAGGCTTTCCCTGCTGCTCCCATTGGCCAGAATTTGGGAGCCGTGCCTCAGTTGAGGTGCCTGGGAGCAATGCAGGACATGAAAGCAGATAAGTTCCTTCACTCCCCATCATGCCCAGAACCTGCACCCCTACTCCTTTCACTCAGCCATGCCCCCAGCCTACTCCTGCACCCTCCCTTGCTCCTGAACCCTCCCCCTTGTCCAGACACCTTACCCCCAACCTGCTTCTGCACCCTCCCTCCTGGCCAGACAAGTTATTTCCAGTCAGCTCCTGCACCCTCCCTTGCTCCTACATCTTCCCCCCAGTCAGATGTCCTTCCCCCTCCCTGCTTTTGCACCCACCTTGTTCCTTCACCCTTCCTCCTGGCCACACACTGCACCTTCCCTTGATCTTGCTCCCTTCCCCCTGGCTACACACCCTATTTCCAGCCTGGCCCTTCCCCCTCACCTCCCACCTAGATGTTGTACCCTCACCCCCTCCTATATCCCACCTCTCACCCAGATCCTATCCCACTTACTGGCAGTCTTGTCCCACACACTGAACCCCTCATTTTTAGCCCCACCAGAGCCTAGGGAGATCCACCAGAGCCTAGGGAGATCCACAAAATCCACTAATCCCAGAACCCCACAAGAGTAAATCTAGCCTATGGGAAGCCTTGAGTCTCAGTCCACCCTGTCTCTCATCTCCCATGGAGCTGAAGAGCCAGAAGAGTGAGGAGTCTCAGTTAATCTGTGAGGGACGGGAGTTTTAGGAGGGGTGTTCTTTGCTTCTCACGTGTGTGGTCCCCAACTGATTTTTCTGTACATTAGTGGCCCCTGACCCAAAAAAGGGTTACCACCCCTGCCATAAATAAAGACAACATTGAAACATTTGTGTTGGGCATGCATTTATATTTTACTTTATTGAAAATAAATGTTGATGAACTGACATGAGAAAGTTAAAGTGCTTAATCTGTTTAATAATCTAAATTAATATTTCTTTTCTTGCTGGTTAAATTAAACCATTCTCCCTAACTGCAGCACTAGCAAAATGGCTCGGGGGCAATTATATAATTAACAGTAAGTTTCTATTAGCAATTGCTGGTCCACAGAAAGGTTTACATCTAGCCAAGTGGGCCACGGATGAAACAATTTAAGAACTACTGCCTTAACCCAAATGAAAAAGGACCCTTCAAAGAATTATAGCTCCTTTTTTTCCTCCCAAGCAGACAATTGCCACATGAAATCCTCCCCCACATACATACACAAGGATGTGGGGAATCACATTGTTGGAGAATAAGAATTTGCAGCTGTGTAATCAAGTTAAATATGTATTCTCTTTGTATAAAGGCTACCGTGAAGTAGAAAGTGAAGAATTTGGCCCAGAGCCTAAATTCAAACTGCACTTTTATTTAATTTATGTTGTCACAGTTCAGTTAAAGTTTAAGTTAAGGTTTATGTGTAATAGGTACCCTCCGGAACATCAGATGGTTGTATATTACGGAAAATAGTTCTTTAGATGTCTTGTAAGAGTAGACTATACTGTGAATCATACTAAGCATTAGTTTATTTTGTTTTTTCTCTATCCAGGAACAAGAACAGTTTGACTTTTCATTTCTGTTTCCCAAAGTTCTGCCTGATCAAATCAATTGTAAATCTCTCTAAGGGTAACAATGAAAGTGGGGGAAAAAAAATCCAGATTTGGAAGAGGCATCTTTCAAGTATAGTGGAGTGAACAGATTAATTTTGTTTTCCAAAATAATGTCTCTTCTGTCTCTGAACAACCATCCAAAGGCATCCTTGTATGTCTGAGTTTAAAAACAAAATCTTGTTTTTTCAGGCAATTCTTAGAGCACAATAGAGTAAAAGACATGATCTGCAATCTTCCCATTGCTGGAGAATATGGTATACTCCTTCATCTTCTTAATTCAGAAATGAATTGTCTATCACCTAAAGAGGGAAACTTCAGTTTTGGGTATAAGAAGATAATGATTCAATCCCAGCTTTGGGGTGTTTATTAATGACCAAAGACTATGTGCTCATGGTACAATCTAGGAAAGTATGGGGCCTATGAAAACTTTAGCTAAAACTGATCTGAACAGAGGGAGAACTACTATAGAAAAGTAATAAACAGGAAAAGTGGATTTCAGATAAATGATGTAAAGATAAAAAAAGTGAAATTGATCATGGAGGAGCTAAAGACAACATGAAGAAGGTTGGAAGACAGCAGGCTTTTTTGTTTTTATTTAATATTATTTATTAATTGCTGATGATCGGGACAGTGCTGATATCCCTAACAGAAGAGATGGTTATTGTTTTTAAATAGAGGTGGATGTAACACTTTGTTACTCCTCACCATTCAAGATTTTATAGACGTGTATTACATTCTCCCACATTCTTTTCTTTTCCAAGATGAATGTCTTTTTATGTTCTCCTCATATAAAAGCTATGCCATAACTCTAATCATCTCTGTTTCCCTTCTCTGCACCTTTTCCAGTTTTTATATATCAGATAGTTCGTCACCCTATATACAGCATTCAAGATGTGGGGGTATTATGAATTTTTATATAATCTCCATCTAACTTGCTTCCTCATTTTTTAAGTGAAATGCTTCTGTGATGGGTTTCTTTGGCATTTTTCCCCTGCCAGGATGTTAAATTTAGTTACATTATGTGCACTACTACTGAGCAATGCACCTTTTGTACCAAATCCTGTGCTCAATTTAAGATTAAATCAACTCTTGCTTCTTTCTTGTGGGCTCCAGGAAAAGCTTCTCCAAGAAGCAGTCATTAACAATGTATATCTCTGTATAACTTTCTGAAGTGACACATACCCAAGCACCATAGAGATAGTTGAAATCTGCCATTATTTTATTTTTACCTATGTAGCCATTGTACCTTCCCTGTACATCTCACAATCACTAGTATACCATTATCCTAGTCAGGTGCTTGGTAGCATATTCTACTTCTGTTATGGAATTTCTGTCCCTAGAGATCTATGACATAGTTTGATTCACTTAAGCCTTTTACTATATTTTACTCTGTTTTTCTTTATATATATATATTGCCACATTCCATTAGCATGACTCATTCCTATACTGCTCCTATTCCTATACATTTTGTACCCTAGTAGTGTCTGGCTATCCTAAAAGAAACAGAGGAGATATTTGATATGAATTTAATAGGATGCAATTTTATTATTAGATGTCTGGAATCACCCATGGATAACCTTCCCTTATTTTCTCCTACAATTAACCTTGGGGTATGAGTGTCTTTACTAGCTCACCCCACTTTTCCACCTATGTTCCTCCAATAGCTCCATTGCTGAGATCTTAAAATCTCCCCTTCAAAATCTTAAACTTCCCCCCTCCTTTTGATCCAGATCCCTCCAACAAATCCATTGCTGGAACCTAACCAACTACCTCCCATAGGAGGGGTAAGATGGACTATAATGATGGGGAGGGTGGCTTCAGGCTGTACCAATCTTTGGAGTCCCCATGTACCCCCCTGCCCACTCAATTACTGAACACTTCTCCATTAAGTCCTTTCCCTAAGACATTTACCCCTTCCTGTATGTCTTCTTTATGGACTACCTGCACTGAATATCTGTTATATCATATATAGTAGCCCAATGTCTGTGAGTCTGTAACGCTGAAATGCTGGCTGTTCCCTCTGGGCGGCGCTGTTGCTGAAATGCTGGCTGTTCCCTCTGGGTGGCCCATGCTGTATGGGGAGCATGGGGCCCAACGGCCACTTGCGCCACTTGCTCCCCGCACGACGGCCCAGCTGAGCGCCTCGGTGGGAGGCAATAGTGTCATCCAGAGGGAACAGCCGGGGGTGGGGCCTGGACGAGCGTGCGTCTCTGATGTCAGGAAAGGGTGCTGGATTCAAAAGGAGGAAAGCAGAGTAGACACAGAGGACGCAGAGGAGACAGAGAGGAGAAGCTGCACCACTCAGCTGGACCGCTGCGGGGGAGCCCAAATGGCTGCTTGCTCCACTTGCTCCCCCTCGGTGGCCTGGCTGAGCAGTGCAGAAGTTAGCCGTGTGCCACAGTGGGAGGTGAAGGGGGGCAGGGTAGTGACGTGAGGCATGACAGCAGCTCCAGACCCCACCCCCTGGCCTTGAACATCACCGCCCCCCTTCACCTCCCACCGTGGCACTCAGCTGACTTCTCTGCCACTCAGCCAAGCTGCCTCAGGGGAGCAAGTGGCACAAGTGGCCATTTGGGCTCTGCGGTCTCCCGAGTGAGAGGCAGGAGGCAGAGGAGAGCTGAAAGAGAGGCAGGGGGGGGCAGTAGGAGGAGGAAAGAGAGAGAGAGAGACCGGAGGCTCAGGAGAGAAGACTGACGTGGAGGAGAGACCTGAAAATCCTGTCTTATGACGGGCTAATAGGTTAGTACTTAAATAATGAGTTGCAACATATGGCCTACCACTCATTGTGTTCTGCATGAACAGTACTCACCAGAATCTGCTGTGAGGAATGCAAAAAAAACCAAACCCCAAGGTCAATATGGTGGAAAGGGAAAAATTCATCACCCTCTCCCCACCC